AGGGAAAGAAAATCTGTACAGATCCTGGAAATTAAGAACCTAGTGAACAAAAAGGAGTGGTTTGCCAGCACCAGTCTTCAGAGGGCTCTGACCTTTGCACATTAAATGCCCTGGCATCTGGAGCTGAGCATGGAGAGGTCATTACACAAATGCCTGGGCGCCAGTGCTTATGATAAAGCTGGAAAGCAGCAGGGGATTAGAGCACAACAGCCCAGTTCTCCGTAGGATGGATGAATGCCCTTTTCCTCTGAGGGCTAGATCTGTGCTGGTCCTGACACTGCTTCCTTTAACTTTAAGGTGTCTGCCATCTGCTACCTGTGTGGTTGGGTGTGGCCCATTGCACAACCAAAGAAAATAGGAAGCTTAAAGGCAATATATAGGTGGGTGTGGCAGGGGGGTGAGGGCGACCATGTATTAGAGGCCTGAAATGTTGACCAAGCTCTCATTTTGTTTAGGTCAGCACTGTAACATTCTGTCCAATGGCCCAGCATACTCTTGAGAGCTACATCCAGCCATACCCTACTGCTTTCAAGTAGTCATGACACTCATACAGATCTTGAAGTCTCTTCTGGAGGCTGAAGTACCATTTTTCTGACTCTTCTCTGGGACCAGCTCTATCACATTAAGACGGCACCACTCTGAAAAGCAATATTCTCAAGTTACCTTTTCCTTCAGAAGTGGGGAAGCAGGAGATAAAGTAGGGGTGAACACAGATTCAAATGCCAGTTCCTCCCTTGTCCCCAGTACCCCATCTGCTCCAGAGCTTAGTGGAGATGCTTGCTATTTAAAACAAACAGCCTTACTGGCTTCACATGATCATCTGTTTATTTGGGTCATGTGGGGACAGCAGCCAGGGGATGTTAGGCAAACGGGTTTAGAAAGGAGGCTTTTTCTAGGCTGTTGTTGCCTACGGAAGACTGAAAATGATCAAACAATTTTTTGTCACCAGAATTTCCCCATTTGGGAAATGGACAGTGGGGAATGGATGGAGATATCTCTATGAAGCAGATGAGTGGAGAATAAAAGAGGAGGGGAAATGAATGGAAGGGCTGCTTTACATTTTAGCCCCAGTTTCCTGTTCCAAGTTGTTTTAAAGTTTGTTTATGGCTTCTTAGGTACTTAGTACCTTTGGAGCAGGAGGAGACCTGGGCCACCCATCATTGTGTGCTTTCTCATGAGATTTCTACTTTCAGTCTTCCTCAAGTTTTGTGAAAGTTCTGTGGAACCCAATGCCCAGTTCAAATCTCTCAATTTTTTTTTTAATATGCTGAGCTAGAGGCATGCCTTAATGAGACTGTCCTCCATCTCCCCCTACTGTTCACCCCCAACAAAGCTTAACATATATACACAACTCCAAGAGCTTTGAAAATCAGTTCCTTAACCCCTACAAAGCATAAGTAATGAGACAGAAGAAAGGTGTGAAGCCAAAAGTATAGGTCTCCGCACTAGATCCCAGAAGATATCCTAATCCTTCAGGTTTGACTTCTCAAATTTTGCAAGTGGTTTTAGGGAGCTTTTCACCTATCATAATTGAAACAAGATGAGAGGGAGAAAGTCAGCTATAAAGTGAAGGAATAGAAGACTAGTACACCCAGAGACATAGCAGATAACATTCATTTAACAAATATTTACTGTGTGCCTAACATGTGCCAGGCACTGGGCTAGGTATCCCTGTAGCCAAGGCCAGGTGACCTTTGGTAAGTTAGACTGGGGTAAAAGGTCACAGAGCAGAACTCAACTCCATATAATACCTAGAAAAGGTTAGCTTTGCTCTCTACCACCATGCTGGATGTAGCACAAGAGATCATATGGCTACACAAAGACTCATAAGAGTACTGAGGTACTCATTTTAGAAGGTTAGGTTCCCAGATAATCATACTTTTCTAAAGAGGTATAAGAAAAAATTAAAAGGATTTAAGGCTGTGTTAACCAACTGAACCTGATTCCTGACAAGCCCACTCTAAACGATGAGCAGGATTTTGAATTACTGTGATAGAGGTACATCCTATAGGGTACTCATTCAATCATCTGTGAAGTGGGCTCTTCAGAGCTGGAAGTTTCCACCAAAGTCTTCACCTACCTTCCTCCACGCCCCGTGAGTTGTCAAAGGACTTCTGAAACTACAAAACAGGTACAGTCAAGTTCCACCTTCCCATTCATGTATTTTCCCTCTTCATAGCCTCACATGATGTCACGGCTGGAAGAGTTGAGATCACTTAGTCAAGCCTCCCAAGAGATGTCTTATCCAATGTCATAAAGCTGCTTAGTGTCAGCTGGGATAAGTGGCCTGGTTCTCCTTTCTGTGAAACAGCCCAGCTGAGGAAGTGAGTCCAGAGTCCTTGAAGACCTCACAGAAATGGGTGATGATAGGGAGATAACTTCTCCTTTCCTGGCTACAGAAATACTCGTTAACTTTTGCTTAGTGGTACTTAATAAACAAGCTTAGCAGATGAGTGAGAAGGCAGAGAAAGAGAATCAGACTTAGAATCCAGGGACTCAGCCAACCTCAGAGGACATTGTATTGCCTCAGGCCACTCTGAGAAATTAAGAGCTTCTAACTGGACCTGGGTAAAGAGCCATTCCTCAGGGGAGCTCACGTCTGGCCTAAAAAGGTGACTGGGGAAAGGGGCAGATTTTTATCCAGGCAACCGCCCTGGGTGTGGACACTGAGTAATAAGGAAAGAAATGCAGTTCAAAAGCAAAAAGGGAGGAGCCACACACTCTGAGCTTTTCTGAGAAACCCAAGAGGCTAGCCACACTATGCAACTAGAGAGATAGGGGCTGTGGATGACTTAGGAAGGAGGAAGCTGATCAAAATGGAAAGGCACAAGGGAAAGGAAGAGGACTTCAGTTAATACTCTGAAGAAAAAAAGAGATGGCTTTAAAGTAAATTAATTCAAGTCATGGGAGTGAGACTGGGCAAAGTTAGTAGAAGTGAAGTCTTATGAGTCAAGAGCCGACTGGATCAGTGGAGGTGTGGGGATGTTGATGATAGGAAAGGCCTCTCCCAGGGCCAAGGGGCTGGAATGCAATCAGTGCCCCA